GGTGGAGGTTGCAGTGAGCCGAGATCACGCCACTGCATTCCAGCCTGGGCAACACAGTGAGACTCTGTCTCAAAAACAAAAGAGAAGAAAAGAAAAGAAAAGAAAAGGGCCTCTTACTGCTGGAGATGTGTGTACTTTCTAAGAAAAATGGTCTAGAAGGTTTTTTTGAAAGATCAACTTGGTGTCCACAATTGAAACTGCCTCCCTAAGAGGGAGGCCCTCCATTTTACCCACAAACTAAGGGTGAGTCCGGGTCTGAAACAAGTGGAACACAGGATGGCTCTTTCACTTCAGGACATAGAGAATGGCATGTAAGAACTAACCCAATGCTGCTGCCATTACTCACAGTCCCAGAGGGGGAAGCAGTCACGTCTTCTGTCTGCACTCCGCAGACCTAACCCATCAGTTCTCAAACTCCTGTACGGGTCCCGTGGTATCTGGACATGTTCATCCCGTGGCGTCTTAGTTCCCCACTGCCACCCCTTCTGTTCCCTGCAAGTCTTCCCATTAGTCTTTCTTCCCAGTGGTTCTTGAGAACATTCCTGACCCCTGACACTCCCGTGTGGACACACAGGTGGCTCAGACTTTCCCTGTCCTCCCTGGGCTATCATTTTTCTGTTTCCTCAAATGAATGAAATAAGAGGAGTGGAAAGGACGAGAATCTTACCTGGAAGGCTTTGTTTGAGGTTCCTTAATAAAGGAGGGCAAGGCGAAGAGAAAGAAGACCAGGAGAGCCAGGAGCAAGGACCACTGGATGCCTTGGCTCAGGTGCCTGCATCTCCACAGGCAGGACCTCATGGCGGTGGGTCGGGTTCTAGAGGAAGGTTCTGCATGTCCTGGGGCCTTGATGTAGGCAGCTGGGAGTCTCACCGCTCAGGTTTCCTGGCCGGGAAGTGCACACTCTTTGTCTTAACAATGAGCCACTCCGGCAAGTGCTGAGTTTATCAGTCTCTGCCAGGGAAGGGAGGAACCGCCTTCACTGCTTTATAAAGGCTTATAGGCTGGCGTGGCTTGAAGGAAGGGAAACTCCTTATGTTCAAACACGTTCACCTTCCTTTTCTTTGTCTCTGAAGCCAAGATCTGAAAGTCAAGCTTTATGAGAAAAACAACCACATTATATGCGATCTCATCTTGGTCAGGTTACTTAACCCATCTGCCTCCATATAAATGGAAAAAGCAGTTATCTTCCTTGTGGGATTATCATGAGGCCGCCATGGACAGTGCTTTGTTTGTGGTAGGCACCCAACACACATGTTCAACACTTTAGCTCAACCTTCCCTGTTTCTCATCTGAAATCATGACCATTACAACAATGACCAGCACGTATGAGGGCTCGCTCTGAGCCGGGCACTGGTGAGTCTTCACAGGCACTCATGAAACCCTCACAGCCACTCTAGGGGCTGGGTGCCGTCATCATCTCCATTTCACAGAGGAGGAAACGGCCTCCAAGAACAAACTGCCAGCCCAAGATCACACGGCGAGCCACTGGCTTGGGGTCCAGATCCAACTGACCTGGAGGTTGCATTCTTTTTTTAAGAAATAGAGATGGGTCTCAGTATGTTGCCCAGGCTGGTCTCAGACTCCTGGACTTAAGTGATCCTCCCACCTCAGCCTCACAAAAAGCTGGGATTACAGGCATCAGCCACCACGCCCGGCCGTGATTGCATTTTTCTTTTCTTTTCTTTTCTTTTCTTTTCTTTTTTTTTGAGACAGAATCTCACTCTGTCACCAGGCTGGAGTGCACTGGTACAATCTTGGTTCACTGCAACCTCCGCCTCCCGGGCTCAAGTGATTCTCCTGCCTCAGCCTCCCGAATAGCTGGGACTACAGGCACCCACCACCACGCGTGGTTAATTTTTGTACTTTTAGTAGAGACGGGGTTTCACATCCAGACCATGCTGGCCAGGATGGTCTCAATCTCCTGACCTCGTGATCCACCCACCTCGGCCTCCCAAAGTGCTAGGATTACAGGTGTGAGCCACTGTGCCCGGCCGATTGTATTCTTACTCACTGCTTAGTAGCACCTACGAGAAATCATTCACTCTACCTTGATCAAAGCAATGCAAAACAAAACCCACATAATTCTTGGGAAAAAAAAGTACACCTCAGAGGAAAAACATCAAGACCATTTGTAGAAAACTTAAAAAATTCAGAGAAGCAGCCCTCCATAAAGTACTGTGGGTTAGTCATTTTATAAAAATATTGTCCAGCGTGTTGAACTGTGGGAAAGGTTTTGGGGCCTGGGCTTGTTGTTCACACCTGGCAGTGGGCGTTTCTCCTAATGTACAGTTTTCAGTTCTGTACAGAAGGCTCTTGGCCTTCACCCATGGCATGCACCAATAAATGATTAAATCACCATCCTCAGGGAGGATGAAAACGGCAGGAACATACGTCTGAGCAGCTGAGAGTAATACAGACGACTGATGGCTTCCTTTATCCCCTACCATACACTGCAACTCACAGCTCTGTTCCAAGGCATGGGCTAGTAGCAAGGAGAAACATCTCTGTTAGTACTGACTCAGCCTCTCTCTTTCTCTCTCACTGTGCCTAACCTACAGACACTCGTACATTAACTCTATAAACATTTTCTGAATTGATCTGTATCAAGTCATAACTCTTTGTCCTAACTGGCCCCTTATCCTAGGTTCCCTTATGCACTTGACATGTACAATTATATTCCTGTATCCTGGTGCCTGCTTGCAACGCTATGCAAATAAGTGCACAGTGAAAAGGCATTTTCTTACTCACAGCACTGGTGTGACTAAACACAGTATCTCTTTCGTCGCACCCTATGTTCTGAAGAAGGCACTGGCTCTCGGTGCTCGCTGCCTTCCGCAGGGCGTGGAGATCCACTGGAGCTCCTGGGTGCAGGCTGAGCTACTGTGGACACTCTGTCCCTCTCACCACATTAGAGGCAGGTTGAACTGGAAGACTTTGAAGCCAGCTGGTGCGGCAGGATAATCCAGAGTCCTAGTTTCCTGGTTCTCAGGTTCCAGCCCACTGCTGCTGTAGCATGTGCCTGGGCAGAATGTGGGATCCAGAGAAGTGTATGTTTTAGGATAAATTGACTTTCCATTTGTTTTGTTTTTGTTTTTCGAGACAAGGCCTCTTTCTGTCACCCAGGCTGGAGTGCAGTGGTGCAATCATAGTTCACTGAAGCCTTGAACTCCTGAGCTCACAAGATCCTCCTGTGGCAGCCTCCCTCAAAAGTAGCTGGGATTACAGGTACGTGCCGTCACACCTGGCAAAATTTTTTTTGTAGAGATTGGGCGGGGGGGTCTTGTTATGTTGTGCAGTCTGGTCCTGGTCTCAAGCGACCCCACTTCAGCCTCCCAAAGTGCTGGGAGCACTTCGTGTGAGTCACGTGTATGAGCCGCCATGCCCAGCTGCCAATTATTTTTTAAACATCATCACAATTTTGTGTTTGGTAAGATCTACTTTTCTCTCCTTTTTATTATTATTATTATTATTATTATATTTTTTTTGAGACGGAGTCTCGCTCTGTCGCCCAGGCTGGAGTGCAGTGGCGGTATCTCGGCTCACTGCAAGCTCCGCCTCCCGGGTTCACGCCATTCTCCTGCCTCAGCCTCCCGAGTAGCTGGGACTACAGGCGCCCGCCACCTCGCCCGGCTAGTTTTTTGTATTTTTTTTTTAGTAGAGACGGGGTTTCACCGTGTTAGCCAGGATGGTCTCGATCTCCCGACCTCGTGATCTGCCCGTCTTGGCCTCCCAAAGTGCTGGGATTACAGGCTTGAGCCACCGCGCCCGGCCTATTTTATTATTTTATTTTATTCTCTTAAGCTCAATGGCAAAAACTTTTTCTCCTTTTTAAACTAAAGCTTTGAACTTTAGTATATATCAGCTGATGGGACATGTGAGAACTTACATGCAGATAAGACTTATTAAAAGATAATTTTTCTGTAAAAGGTAAAATTATTACTCAAATAGACATAGGACATAAAAATGTGCTAAAGATTTGATTCTACTCATGGGAGAACCAGGCAGATATAATAACCAATTCAAAAGAGAAGTGCATGAGCACAAAGTAATTTAGATTGTTTTTCTTTTGCTGTTTTCAAGATTTTTCTCTATCTCTGGCTTTCAATATTTTGACTGCGATGTGTCTGTATGGGTCTCCTTGCATTTATTCACTTGGAGTTTCTTGGATCTATGTATTAGTGTTTTTCAACAAATTTCAGAATTTTTCAGGTATTATTTGTCTGAATATTTTTTTCTCTCTATCTCTGCCTCTTGAGCATTCTTTCCTAGGATGAGTATGTTGGTGTGCTTAACAGTATTCTACATTTCTCTGAGGCGCTGTTCATTTTTACTTATTATTTTTCTTAGTGTTCTTCATCTCTGTTAATCTGTCTTCATGTTGGCTGATTCTTCCTTCTGCCAACTCAAATCTACTACTGATCCCCTCTAGTGAATTTTTCATTTTGATTATTTATTTTTCAACTTTAGAATTTCCATTTAGTTAAGAATTTTTTTTATATCTTTTTAGTTAACATTCTTCATGAGTCATTATTACCATGGCTTTCTTTAATTCTTTAAACATGGTTTACATTAAAAACTTTTTTTTTTTTTTTTTTTTTTTTGGAGACAAGGTCTTGCTCTGTCACTCAGGCTGAAGTGCGGTGGTGCAATAGTAGGTCACTATAACCTTGAACTTCTGGCCTCACGTGATCCTTTCTCCCCAACCTCCCTAGTAGTTAGGGCTACAGGCTAATTTATTAAAAAATATATATATATATATTTTGTAGACACAGGTTTTCACTGTGTTGCCCAGGCTGGTCTTGAACTCCTGGCCTTAAGCAATCCTCCTGCCTAGAACTCCTGAAGCACTGAGATTACGGGCGTGAACCACTATGCCTGGTCTACTTCGATTTTTAAAACATATTTATAATAGCTGCTTTGAAGTCTTTTTCCAATGTGTCCAACATTTAGGTCCCTTCAAAGGCACTTTTTATTGCCTGACTTTTTTTCCTGTGTATTTGTCACAGTTTCTTTGCGTGTCATAAGTTTTTGTTGAAAGCCAGACATTTTAGATAATATATTGTAGCAACTCGAGATGCTGAATTCCCCACTACATTGGGGCTTGGTGGAACTGTTGTTTCTTTGGGCATTTGTTTATTTAATTCTGAACTAATTCTATGAAGCCTATTTCCTGGTTTGTGTGCAGAGTGTACAATTTCTGATGTTTCTGCTGAGTTTCTTTCTTTTCTCTTTTTTTTTTTTGAAATGGAGTCTCTCTCTGTTACCAAGCTGGACTGCAGTAGCGCGATCTTGGCTCACTGCAACCTCTGCCTCCCGCGTTCAAATGATTCTCCTGCCTCAGCCTCCTGAGCAGCTGGGACTACAGGCGTGTGCCACCACACCCAGCTAATTTTTGTATTTTCAGTAGAGACAGGGTTTCACATGTTGGCCAGGATGATCTCAGTCTCTTGACCTCATGACCCACCCACCTCGGCCTCCCAAAGTGCTGGGATTACAGGTGTGAGTCACTGCACCCGGCCTTCTGCTGAGTTTCTTAACCACCGTGTCTGGTACAGTTTCCACCCTACAAGTGGGCTCTGGGTCGGGGAAGGGAGCCCCAGCCCTCTTGGCCACACCTGCATGGAATACAGTTTTTGCAGCACAGAGCTGGGAGAGATGAGAGACACCAGTGGCATGCCCTTCTTAGAATGAAACTGTAGCCTGGAGTGGAGGCAGAGGGAGCCCCCCATCTTCTTGGGAAGCCACATCTGCTTAGGAAGAAGATAGGAGGGGGATGTGACTCAGGTGCCACAGACTCTTTATTCTTACTGGGATTCAGGAGATTTTCTTGAATAAATATTTCTTCATTTGCGGTATGTCCTTAGGACAACATAATTTTATTTTAATTATTTAAATAATTTTCACCAATTAGGTCAGGTGCAGTGGCCCACACTTGTAATCCCAGCACTTTGGGAGGCTGATGTGGGAGGATCACTTGAGCCCAGGAGTTGGAGACCAG